AGACATAAATATACCAAAAGGTACTCAAGTTTGACATTGTTAAGGAAATTCAAATTTAAATGATAAGTAATTTTTGCCCACCAGTTTGACAATAATAAAAATTTTATAATGTTCAGTATTTTTTTCATTACGTTTATTGGTACATTTTAAGTATACAATACAGTTACACTCATCATTGGGATCTTGTACCGTTACATGATGTATCATGTTCTATAATGTTCAGTATTAAAGTAAAAGTAAAGAAATATATACTTTTATAATCTTGGTAGAAGTGTAAATTGTCACAGCATCTTAGGAAGGCAATTTGACTATGTCAGTTAATTTTTTTTATAGTTTTCATCTGAGCAACATTTTACAAATATGAATGAGATCCAGGTGTGCTGGTGCATGCCTGTAATCCCAGCACTCAGGAGGCTGATGTAGGAGGATCACCACTAGTTCAAGGCCAGCCTGGGCTACATAGTGAGACACTGTCTCAAAACAAAACACAACAACAACAAAAGAAAAAGTGTAAGAAGTGACATAACTTGGAATGTTCATTGTATTTTGTTTAAAATATTTAAATAATTTCTGAATATCCACAAGAACACAATAAAGAGAATAATATTGTTAAATGGTCTGTGCTATGAACGTATACTGTGGAATACTATAAAGTGAATAAAAGAGATGAGGAAAAGTTCATTGTATAACATGGAAAGAACTTCAGGGCATTTCACTTAGAAGCAAGTCATAGAACAATAGGAACAGTTTGATTTCATTTATATTTTTACAAATAATCACAAAATAAAAATTAAAAAGAAGAAACAAAAATGTCACAATATATACCGTGGACTTTTACATGCTTATGTTAATAAGTGTGTTTTAAAAGTTCTGGAAGATAGAGTACTACTAAACTAATAACAAAGGCTGTGCTGGGGGGAGCAATGGAAAATGAATTTAAAATAAGTCTTTGGGAAATCATTGATTATGTTTGAGGATCAAGTCTCATGCAAGTTATGGGACTAGAAATAAGAAGTAGCCAGGTAGGGCCGGGGATTTACCTTAGTGGCACCATGCCTGCCTTGTAACCCCAAGGTCCTGAGTTTGTTCCTTGGTACCAAAAAAAAAAAAAAA